CCCTGCTGGTTGTTGTTGCCCTGACCGTGGTTGTTGCGTCGACCACGGCGGCGATGGCGATTGCGGCGATTGCGCTGGCGCTGCCCTGTAGCTGCAGGATCTTGAGGGTTTTCTTCTTCCTCGTCCACGTTAAGGTCGCTGAAGTTGTCGTCAGCGTCGTCCTCAACGGGGGTTGCAGGGGCGCGCTCCTCGTTGTTCGCCATGTCCTGCCATTTTCAGCGGATGTCTCACAAAATATTAGTGCGCAAGAATGCAGAGCACGTCAGTACAGGATGTGTAAGTCCTGACACTCAGCGGCGCTGCCGCTCCAAAGTAGGCTGCAGTCCCTGTGTAAGAAAGACGATCACAGGAACGACGCGCTGGCACAGGATCAGACCTGCTGTCCCTGCTAAAACGCTGAAGACACGTAAACCAGCAAGGCAGTCCTGACTGCCGAAACCCTGCCCAAAATGCTCAAAGGCAATGATGCAGGTCTCAAAAGAATCAGATCTGACGGGCACTGCTGACGGCAGCAGAATATGCACTCAAACGCTGCGCAACGTGCGCCAAAACAGTCCGCTGCCACCAAGAAAAGGTGTGCTTAGCAGCAACCAGCACTGAGGCGGAAAACCCTTCTCAAAAACGCTCCCAAACGTGCTAAGCTGGACGCTGCAATTGCTGAGGGGCCAGATCTGAATCAGGCTGCTGTCAACTGCAAGAAGCGCGGCAAAATACGGCGCAACTCCCTCTAAATCAGTCTCCAGGCGCGCATGAAAAGGCGCCTAACAGCAGATCAGCCCTGAGGGAAAAACCCTGCTGGAAACCCTGCGCAAAATGCGATCAAACAGTCCCTGTGCGCTAAACAAGGCAGCGCCCGACAGCAACCAGCCCTAGGAACCAGAAATCCTAGGCAGAACCCGCAGAAACAACGTCTACACGCCAAGAATGACGCCGCAAATCAGCCCTAGGCAGCCCTGTTACTGCCAAGAGGCCAAACAAAGCAGGCCGCCTCTTGTGGTGCTCTCACAGTCTGCTGAAACAAGCCTCAGATCTGAACTCTAAGGCGCCAAACCGCGCATCCAATGATGCCAAACTGCTGCCCTGCAGGCTGCCAATCAGCCTACGCCAAGGCACGTCGGGAAGCGGTGGTGCTTCCCCCCAAACGCACGGCTGCCTTCTCCGTGTGAGAAAGGTGCTGCTGCAGTCCGTACCTTCTGAAGATGCGGTGGCTTTCCCACGAGGAACTCCTTGCTC